CATTTCTGCCTCTCACATCAAAACAATAATAAAAGATTAAATTTGGTGATGTTGTGAAGTAAATTGGGATTATGGGAGTTGTTGTCTTCGCCACCATTGCGTCATTACAGTTAGCTTCTCCCGGTTAGGATCCCGTCATTGTTCATCGTTCAGGAGGTTTTTTACCAGGAGCCGAATTATCTGCAGAGGTCTCTGCCTTTTCAGAACAAACAAATTTAATTTAAAACCGGTAAAAACACTGAATAAAGCAGTTACACCACAGCCAGGACCGACGGTCTTTGTGATGCAACACACTTTTCCACACCCAAGTTTTTCAGGTACACAGAGGTCAGAAATAGTGACTACCAAAGCAAGAGATGTAAAGATTTATCTCTGTAAATCAGCTCAAAGAAATGCTATGTCAGCCCCAAACACAGACTGACAGGACTGAACCTGAATCAGACAACAGAAAAAAAATCGGAATATACCATAAAAGTTATTTGGCTCGTGACTTTTTGAGGTTAGGAGAAGCTAGATGTCCCACGCCGAGGTGGCTCATCTGGAGGGAAACTGTGTGTCAAATGTGTTGATGATGCCAAGCAAGCTGTAGAGGCATCTCAGGACAAAATTTTAGCCAGTGGAGATATAAATACTTCAAGCAAATAGAAGAAGTGATTGAAAAACCGGATCAATGCATGGTGTGAAAATACATTTAACCAGATCAGTGTTTATCTACAAATCAACATAAAACAGCTGACTGATTGAGAGTAGGCCTTTATTATTTCACTTGACACACATGCACATGGAGGGTGCCATGAAAGTGTTGGACAGTTTTGGACATAGTGTGACTTTGTGTTGCCTTACAATGGGGCAAGAAACAAAAGACAGTTTACCCTGTTTTCATGAGATTGAGCATACTTAAAATGTATGTAAATGTAAATGTAACCTAAAATGTAAATGTATAATGTGATGGATGTTTACAACAGACACTTTGGGTAAAATTTTAATGTTCAGCTTCCATTACTCTTCCCAATACTGTATGTTTGGCTACACCTGGGATTAGTTTACAACCTGTACAGTCGTCTGATTGTAACTAACGGCCCAGTAGACTGACCAGGTGAGTCCATGTCAAAGCTGTGATGTAATGATTTCATGTGCTCAGTCTGCCTGTACGCTGTAGGCGCAGACAGACTCAAACAAATCTGCAGTTTGTCAGAAAGAATGAATCACGATGAATCACAGGATATATTTGTTACCTTCAGCGTATTTATGTGGGAGAGGTGTGTGAGACCATACACAGAAACATCCAGAACTACAATATGCACACATACACACGGATGCATATACGTGCACACATTCAGCGGCATGCACTTATGCAAAGTCATGCATACAAATGACCTCATGTCTTTATTCAAAGGGTCAGATGCATGGACACACACACACACACACACACACACACACACACAGAGAAGTAGTGTGAAGTGTAGTATCAATGGCGGTGGTGTGATCTCTCTCCCTTTCCTTGTCTTGGTGCTGGCGCAGCCGCCTGTGCTGCCTGTGTGGGTGCCACCCACCCACCCATCTGTGCCCATCGGGGCCCGAGGGCCCAGAGTCCATCTGGCATCTTCCTCTGTGTCTGTCGAGTTGTCACCTATGATGGCCACCACTGACAGCTTTCACGTGCCAGCACTCTTGTTCAGTAATACGGAGTAACAGAGAAAAAAGTTCTGAACGCAGTGACCTCAGCTTCAACCGAAGGGTTTATAATACAAATAAACATAGTTTACATTCACAGAAAACACAATCATTTAATTCATAACTTTGCTGCTCTACAGTGATGCTGAAACAGATATACCACAATTTCTCAAGGCATCAAAATGTTTAAAGGTATCAGAAACCTTCTAAATAAAAGCAAACCACCAAAATGTTTCGATACCATACCAATACCAATAAAAAGAAAATGCCATTACACATTACAGTACAGTTATTCACTTCAAGAGGAGAATAACTTCAGAAATTCCATCAGTTCAAAAACTGATGTGAATATTGGTACGGACTAACTATATAAAAAACATAAGTAACTATCAAAAGGAACATTAATGAACAGTAATGGCAGCATTGTAACATCTAGTGAGCCCACACTCCTGGTGTATTTCTCTCTGTTTACTGGTCTGTGAGCAATATCATGTTTGCTGTCAGAATCACTCTCCACCTTGGCTGCAGGTTATCCACTCCCACGGTGGCGAGGAGAGGCTTCCATCACGGTAGACGATGTGGTCAACGACTCACTGATGAGCAGATACAGGTCAGCTGCACTGGTTAGCTAGGTGAGGAAATGTACAGCTTAGGTATCAAATGATCCCAACAGTTGTAGGTTGAAAACTGTAAAAAAATATATATATCCTCCACCACTATATGTGCATATTAGACAGAAAAAAAAGTGAATGTTGTTCTGTATTGGCTGTAAAGTGAAAACAATGACAAAAATACGTTATGAAATTAGATCTTCTATATTAAATGATTCAAACGTTCCTTTAACTCATACTATCTGATCTTTAAATAGATTGCTACAAAGCAGTGGAATCTTTATAGAGTCGAACTAAGTGGCAGTGATGGATGATATTAACCAGCCTGTGGGATCAGACTTCAACTGAAGTAGACAACAGTGTGGCATATGCCCCGCTACATTTAATGAGGATTTCACGGTGAGAGTGGATGATGAGGCCTCGCTATTGTCTTCAGTCTGAGCAGAAGGGATTCTGATGAAGACAAGTTGCCGGTCATTTGCATGTCAAAGAGCCCGGAGACACAAAGACAATGGAGGATTAGCAGGGACGCATATAGAAACACAGATGACAACGTATTGAGCCTGACACCAGCGATCATTTATGGCGCTGTGCTTTATTACAGGGTGGTGCAGGGGTGCTTGTAAGGAATTAAGTTTTAGATTGATTAAAAGAGGCATCCTCAGCTACAGTGGTCCCTCATTCCCTCACTGAAAGCTGAGGGAGCCTGGTTCAAGTGTTACGTACCGCTTTACATTCCAAGAAGAGTTTGACATTTGATACTTTTATAGTCTCAAAGTTATATGCAAAGATTGATACCACACATCTGTACGGTGAATATGAAGCAGGAGCTAGATTAGGTTAGCTTAGCTTAGCTTAGCACAAAGACTGGGAACAGCTAGCCTGGCTCTGTCCACAGGTAACAAAATCTGCATAGCAGCACCAGATCACTCATTAAGACGTTATGTGTTGTTTGTGAAATCGATCCAAAAACCGAAGAGAGAGAATCACAATTTGCCGTTTTGTGCAGGGTTATGTTCTGTACTATTTCTTGGCTGGGACCAGTTGCCAGGCAACCAGCGGAGACTGGCTTATGTGCCATCCAAGAAATGGTCTGGCACATAAGCCCCCTCAAAACAACTTATTGTCTAGTTTTTTGTTTTTTTTACTGATTTTGGTGTAAAAACAGGCTAGCTGTTTCTCCGTTTCTAGCCTTAATGCTAAGCTAAACTAACCGGCTGCTGGCTCCAGCTACATATTTACTGTCCAGATAAGAGAGTATTGATCTTCTCGTGGAACGCTCAAGAAAGGAAGCAAATAAGTGTATTTTCCAAAATGTGTAACAGTTCCTTAAAGCTAATTTTCAACATTCAGATTCAGATTATGGCACAATGTGAGGATTTACCACCACTCTGACATAAATAAAGCCGTACTAAAGCTGCATTTTAAAACCAAACTCTTGCTGCTTTGAATGACTCTTTTATTAACGTGTCTGATCTATATATCAAGTTGCATTTTCCAAAGGGTTGTTTTAAAAAAAATTAACTCCACTCCTTTTTCCCAAGCATTTAAATCAATCTCTTCATCACGAATTACATCCCTGAGAAGATTTAGGGACCAGCTGTCTTATGAAGTCTTCAAGTGCCCATATGTCTCCACTCTGGTCAAATTGGAAGCAGCCAGTCAAGTATAGCTGAACATGTGTAGGCGTTGGGATGAGCTAGTAAGATAACTTTTCTTTTTAACACACGGACAAGAGTTTTAGGCGTGTGTGGTTCTCATGAGCGGCTGAGCTGAGGTTTCTGTCCCGAATAATCCGTTAATGTCTGTCTGTCTCTCTTGCAGATATAAAATGTATTTTTTTTTTTTTTAGAGTCAGCATTATGCGCTACACATAATCAAGATAGAGGCTTTACAACAGGAATTACTGCCAATGGTGTTTCGATTATCATCAGTGGAACAGGTGAAAGCTAATGGCACTGACTCACCAGAGGGGGCAGCACCTCCCCAGAAAAAAACACTCCCATTTTCACTCACTCCTGCTCTTTGGGAACCCCTCACACACACACACACACACACAAACACTGTATACACATGCACAGACACACCATGTCATCACCCTCTGTTACTCACAGCCTTCCTGCATCCAAGGTAGGTAGGCATAGGCAATTGGTTATATTTTAGAGGCTGTGTGTGTGTGTGTGTGTGTGTGTGTGTGCGTGTGATGATGCATAACATCCCCACTCTTCTCTCTCTCTCTCTCTCTCTCCCTTGTTTCCCCTGTCATGCCAGCATCACTCCCTCTCCTCCCCTCGGCTCTCGAGACACATCTGTCTCTTATTAGCCCCGTGGTTGCTGCAGGTTGTCATCCAGTTAATGGCTCCTGTGATGTTTCTCCTCGGCCATGCAGTCAGTTGTGTCACGTGGAACAATGTTGCTATTATTACTATAGGCAGTGTAAATGAACCATGTGCTACACTGGACATGTATATTAGCTTCCCAAGGGACTGCTGTGGAGTAAATGAAGAATATTGGCTGGGGGGGGTTCATTAGTGTGTTCAGACTTCATTTGCAAGCCAGTGTGTATCACGCAATATCTGTAAAATCTGATGTTATTTTTCCACCAAGAACCCTAAAATACAATGTTATAGTATGTGCTGCTTTTACTCAGTGTTGAATGTTACGATTCATGAACTATATAAATCACCGTAATTCAAAATGATCAAGACACCAGACTTATTTCTGTACATAAAAATGGGAGTTTAATTGAAACTTTTGTATCAAAAAATAGCAATATCCATCCTTCACAGCCACAAGTCACACAGCTAAACTGAAAGGTCTCCAATGAGGCTATGTGACAACTAAGAAAGCTGTTCCACCTGTTGTTTAGCTTTCCATAGAACTCAAATTAATCTTGACAGTACAGAAACCAGATGGATTTCTCTGATACTTAGCCATTCAACATTACCAACAGACTTTTTTTAATTTTTTTTTTAAGTAGTTAAATAACATTCAAATGCTCTTTTCAAATTTAAGTAAACTTTTTTTATTCTGCTTTACATCGACAACTGCTTCAGTGCATCCTCCACATCTCAAAAAAACTCATGTCGAAATGTAAAAATAAGTTATAGGAATGCAAACCAAAGACCAAGAAGGATATGCAAATTTTTGTAGGGGGGAGGGGGGCTTTTAAGCATAGACAATAAATAAATAAATAGCCACAGAGTGTGGAATGTCTACATGTTTACAAATAAATTAAAAGCAAATGGGGGGGGGAATTGTACACACAAAAAGAGAGAAAAAAAAAAAAAAACACGCTGTACAATATTTGTTGAAAAATAAAAAATAAAAAAATAAAAAACATAATTGAGTCCATGAATATTGCATTGATTGTGCATTTCACACCCCAAACCCTGAGGGAGGCCAGGGGCGGGGGCTATGTAGTGTCAAGCAGTGAGATGGCGGGAGGCAAAAAGAAAAAGATACGTCAAGAGGGCCACACACCCCGCAACAGGCATGGGGGGAAGAGAGGGAGAAGAAGGTGGTGGGGTGGGGGAGGCGGGAGGTGTGTGTGTGTGTGTGTTTTGACATTTTGTAGACATTCAGAAAAGACAGGATCCAGTTTCCAAACACCTGTTCAGGCTATAGAGTGAGTGAGCAGCGTTAAAGAGAGCGACACAGAGTTGAGTCGAGTGTTTTTCAAGTATTCCACTGTCAGGAAGAGCCCCCACCTCCTTCTCTCCTATCTAATGCTATCTTAGCCTCTTGGCAGGAGTCTGGTTGGCGCACAGTGATGGTGAGGAGGGGGGAGAATAAAACAGCCTAACCCACCCCCCTTCCCCAGCTTCCATCACAGCACAGGCAACTTAGCCACCAGGCCACGGGCAAGTCCAAAAAACAGAGTTGTTGACGAAAGCCCCCAGAAAAGCAGCTTTCCAAAAAAAGGCACTACAAAATCAAAATTAAAACATTTAAATAAAAAGGTTTTCTCCAAGCTCTATGAGAGCAGCCATGTCTGAATAGGAGGGCCTTGCCAGCTGCATATACCAGCCTAGTAACAAAACGAGTGAAATAAAGTTAAAAAGGGGGGGAAAATAAATAGTGCTGGTAAGACCGCCCAAACAGAAAAATGTTCCCGATTAGGAAACAAGTATAATCAACCGAAAGAAAAAGAGGGGATGGGGGGAAAGTAAGATAAGGAAGAACAAATAGTAATAACTTAGAAATTCCCTACAAAAGAGGAAAATTAAAGTACATTTTTTGAGCTGGAGCAGCTGAGTGACGCGCCCAGCCGCAGATGGGCCAGTTGGGCTACAGGCTGCTGGCCTCGAGTCCATATCACTCCCTCCATCCAAACCCCTTCTTTCCCCAGAAAGTCTTTTTCAGTCCAATCAGAGCCGTCCTCAGAGACTCTCCTTGCTTGAGCTTGTGCTTGAAGAAGAGTCTGTGTCGATGGTCCTGAGGCGGATGTCGACGGCGACCGGCTCCTCCGGTGACTTGGGCGACTCTGTCGTCGCTCTCATCCAGGGGTGGTCGCAAATCTGCTCCAGGGTGGGCCGGTCTGAGGGCCGAAGGGCCAAGCACCATTTGATCAGCTGCTGGCACTCTGAAAGGGGAGACAGAAACAACATTGAGGATAAGAGGCTCTGAAGTCAACTGACTTCAGTTCGTATGGATCTACAATATCCGAGTATGTGGGCGGCACAGACAGCCAATAGAATGAGAGCACACATCCTTTTATTGAGTTACCTCTCTAGGGTAACCAAGGCTGTTACACAAAGTGCACCAAGGGAAATCAGAACAGCCAGAATCTCAGTTTTATTTACCGTTGATAAAGCAATCTAGCAGCCATTTCAGCAGGTGATCCACTGTGATTGTGGAGGTATTACTGATGTAAACTGACTCATGACTGAGTGGCACTGGGACGTGGATTTGGGGGCTGTACCAGTTACCGTGGCTAGAGGGCAACAGAGTCAACTCATGTGTTTGTGTATTGTTGTGGTTGACTTACCGGCTGAAACCCTCCTCCTGAAGTACAGTCTACCCCTGAGGATCTCCTCGTCCTGCTCAAAGGGGATGTCTCCACACACCATGTCATAAAGCAGCACGCCTAGCGACCACACCGTCGCAGAGCGACCATGGTATCTATGGAAGCGGATCCACTCTGGTGGGCTGTACACTCTTGTACCTAAAAGAAAATTGGGACAGAGAAAAGGAGGATGAGTGTTGTGAAATATGAAGCAGTGAAAAGATATTTAAGGTGTAACAGTGCAACAATATAGAGGACATACTGGAACAGCATAGAGACTCTTAATAAAAACAACTGAAAATAATTACTGCCCCTGTGTCTAAAATGGCTGAGTCATGGTAGAAATGCTTTCCATCTTCCTTTAGCCACAAAACACAAACTGGGTGACCTGCCTGCTTCTCTCTCCCCCCCCCTCTCCCTCCCTCCCTGGAAGGAGGAACTTGGATACCAAACAAAAAAAGGCAATGTGAGCCCATCACGTGAACCGCCGACTCGGGTTTCACAACAAACAGATGTTACGTGGCACTGACCTAATACCCACAAACTGCGACTGTGAGTCAAGCTTAACTAACAAAATAACAACATGAAACGTAACAGCACACTCCATCTCACATGGCAGGGATGTGTCAGAGATAATAAAAAAATAATCAAAAAGTCATTAGGGTTAATAATAAAACAGTGAGTCATATCTCGCTAAGTCATAACACGCGAGTCACAAATCCCGCTAAAAAAAATATATAAAAAAAACAGTGGGAGCTTTTCATTTAGTATTTACATCCGTAATATTGATAAGCCGCGAGACCCCGGGCGAGGAAAACCCTCGACCAAAAACAGACCACTGCGTCACAGCCTCGTGAACGCCTCCATCTCTGAATATAGCACCGCGGAGCATCAAGGGCAAACACAACCCAGCCCACACCGATATGTATTCATATACATATATATATATAAAAACCCTATTTACATAACCAACATCGTAGCATATTATAATAGAAATTAGTCTAATTGGGGGGGGGGGTTGGCTGCTTACCATCGAAATCGGTGTAGACTGTGTCCTTGAGAATCGCCCCCGAGCCAAAGTCAATAAGCTTGAGCTCCCCGGTGCGTAGATCCACAAGCAGGTTTTCATCTTTGATGTCTCTGTGTACTACACCGCAGCTGTAGCAGTGTCTGACCGCCTCCAAAACCTGGCGGAAAAAGCCCCGAGCCGTGTCCTCGTCCAGGGCGCCCTTCTCCGTGATGAAGTCGAAAAGGTCCTTGACGAGCTCCGGCCTCTCCATAACGATCAGCCAGCCGTCCGCCCGCTCGTAATAGTCCAGCATTTTGATAACTCCGCGAAACGTCGAGCTGACCTTCTTCAGCAGCAGGATCTCCAAAGGCACCATGGATCCGTTCTGTGGCAAATAAATAAATAAAAGGGGGTTTATTAAGCATGTTAGGATAATGCACAGCCATTTTTTTTTACCCCTTTTTAAAACATCGTAACACCAGAGGAGGGAGGGAGTTGGGGAGTGGGGGTGGGGGGACCAAAACAAACCAGATCGGGGGATGACTACTTACAATTGTGCCCCACTCGGTCACCCTCTCCTTCGCGACATGTTTCACAGCAACCTGAAATAACACAATAAAAGAAGAAAATATAAATATACTGGGAGGTTGGAAGCCGGTGGCGAAACAAGGACGACCCCAGGCTTTGATGGCGGCACATGTAAGATCAAAACATAGACGCCCCCCCTCAGATCCCCGTCCACAGCCTTACCGGTGCGCCATCGGAGATCCGGCTGCCGGCGTACACTGTGCCAAATCCTCCGCTGCCCAGCACCGACCCCACTTGGTAAACCTTCTCGAAAGGCTCCTTTTCCGCTTTAACTGCAAGAAAAAAACAAGTGAAAATTGTGTTAAAAAAAAATAAAAGGTAAGCGCACTACTTCCATAACAAAACCACCGCTTAGTTTGAGATGTGAGCTATCGTTTACTAGTGAGCCGGTCGGCTGCAGCAGTGGTAGCTTCATAGAAATTAAATGCAAAATGTTCCGTTTCTTAAACCCCGCTATCATATCTTGTATAAATGCGGTGTAAAAGTAACGCTCGCCGCTGGTTAACCTACCCGACTGAAGTTGTATTTTCACTGGTAGATGGTCCATACTTGGAGGGGTGCAAATATGCGAAAATGAACCGAACTTTGACAGCAACATATTCGAGCTGAAAAGCCGAATCCCTTTTCACTCGTCGAGAGTCAGAAGAGCCGGCGTGTAAGTCAGGGGAGAGAAGTGTTCAAGCGCAGTGTGAATGGTGCTGCAAGACCGTCTTGGCTTCAAGCGAATAATATATCCAGTCCAGCAGTGCGCCAACTCCGCCGCACCGCGCCCGTCAAAGTCGTGTCACGACCGTGAAGTCGTACACCCTTTTCCCGAAAACCGGCATTAAATCTGACTTGTGTGTCTCGACTCAAGCGCAGCAGACGAAAAACAGTCCTCTTAAGTGACCAAAAAAAAACCAAAACACAACAACGCGAACACTCCGATGTGTATAGTAAGCCGTAGCGACAGTAGAGTGCGTTTAAATGCCCTCCGCAGTGTGTTGATATCCTGAAGAGTGGCCGCTGTCTGAGCTTTGGCGCGGTCTTCCCAAGCCAATATTTTGACGCGCAGTGGGATGGTGGTATCCCTCCGCCTCAATACAAGTCGACACGTTTGCTTAATTCCGAGGTAAATCCGTATTTTCTTACTACACACACACTGTCGTTAAACCCCCGGGCACGTGTTGTAATTGTACCACACTTTCGTCCGAGAATATTATCGAAATAACCCCTTTTCACCGCGCACTACTTTCTCATAGTACGAGACGCCCAAGAATCCCTTGTCTGGAAGCTTTGCGCTGTGTTCACTATGGACTCGGAGGCGACGACCAATTAGATGTCGTATATAAATACTGTGTATCGTATCTGGACCAATCCAGAAAAAGTTGTTATAATAAAGCAGGCATTTGAGTGCACGTGGCGGCAATTCTGAGAGCCCCCCCTCCCCTCCCTTTTCCTCCGCAGCTCTGCAGTGAGAGACGGACACAGAGTTTATGGCTGGAATGAAGTTTAAGTTTATAGTGCAACTCACCACAAACTACTGATTACCTCTTTCAAGTTGTTGTTAGTTATAAAGCGTGCACCGAAACTCACTTGTGTTGTTTGTTTACTTTTTGTTTACCCTAGAGTATGATGCCCTCCAGAATTTCTTAAAACTTAAATATGAGCAGTTTTGACTGTTATTATTCTCCTACAATAATTATTTAAAGGTTTAAAAGAGTGCGCATGCAACAGACATGGCAGTTAATTATATATTCGTGTTTAGCCTTTATTTTCACCAGGAAGTATCGTTAAAGATTAGATTAGGATTAGATTAAGATTAAAAATGTCTTAAAAACAATGAGTTACAGATAAGAAACACATGGAAAATGACACAAAGTACACCAAAATCAGAATTAAAAGAGAAATGCCATAGTTTACAAATAATAATAATAATAATAATAATAATAAAATGCATGATACAAATCTAAATACTGAACATAAAACAGCTAAATAAGACCAAGAGATTGTAAAATAGCCCCAAACATCAGCACCCAGAACATGCTGAATGTTGCTGCATGTGTAATAGACCTAACATTTAATGGTGACTGTCCAAGGATGACACTGCAATAGACTGCATTACACTATTTGAAGGATGATACATAATAATGACACACTAGAACACTATGTGTTGACATGAGTATGAAAACATAATACCACCGTATCACGATAACAAGAATAGCAAAACAATCAGATGGCCAAGGTTTGTGGAGCCAGCTGTCCACATTTCAGGAGATAAACTTTCCAGTTTTACTGTTACACATCTGACCTTGGCTCTCGATGAACTTTCCACTTTTTATCTTCCGCTGCCTCTGATAACCTGTTCGTGTATGAATGTGTATGTGTGACCACTAACCAAACAGAAGCACCAGAGAGTTCCAGGGAACCTTATCTTGCTATAGGCCTGCCGACTGCAAAGTTATGTAAATGTAGACACACAAGCATAGGCTGCATATGAGAGCAGAGTAACAGCCTGCGGGCTAACCTGCAGTGATGCTCTGTATTCACCGTATGATAATTTACACTGCTTCATGTTTGCCATCAAGACATTTGTGCATGGCTTTATGTCAGTATATATATATGACACAATGTATATATGTATATATATGAAGTAAGAAAGCTTTGCTTTCCCTTAAAGGGAATGTACCAAGAGGACACATAAATATATGATATTTGCATTTGCATTTTAAGTACATTACTATGTACATGCATATTGTGCTGGGGAATGTGGAAGAACCTAAACGGTTGATTTGCTTTTATCTTTTAAAATATTTGCATGAATGACAAAGAGTTCAATGGTTTATTGAATTATGCTTCAAAGAAAAATGTGGTAGCAGCAGCCTATTCCCTGCAGGAAAACCTTCCACCTCTCCTGCATGTTTGTTCTGTGGTCATGGCTTTATTTTCCTTCAGTGGCTCTGACCCATATAGTCATTATTAGTAATTGCTTAATAATACTGTAGATCTTTGAAGTAAAGCTTTTCTTTTAATGCACTTGTGCTCCAAAGTTCCTTCAAAAGCAGAATCGCCTGCAGCTTTCCACGCGAAGCTATAGTCCGTATCTCCATGTATTTCCTCCCACACAAACAGGACAGCTCAGGTGAAATACTAAATTGCTTGCAGTTACATGCTAGAATCAGTTTTTTTTTTTTTTTTTTACATCTGAAGCTCTTACCCAAATACTGGTCCCTTCTCATTTGCACTTCTGTATGGAGTGTCACCTCGCATGAAGTCACACTCCCAGCTGAGGAGGGCACTCTGTATTGCAGAGAAAGGTATGAAAAAAACGGTATGTACTTTCCTGTCTCCACTGCGAGCATATGCAACAGGTGCACCTAACTAATATTTGCGAGAACCCTCAGTATGGTATGTGCTACGTGCAAGTGTGCGAATGGAGGTGGAGTGGCTGGGGCGAAGGTATAGTGGCTGGTGATGATATTGAGTGTCAACCCCGTGATGGATTGGTGTCCTGTCCAGAGTGTTTACTGCCTTTCATCCTCTGCACGCTGTGGGAACAGACTCCAGCAATCACACAATCCTGGATGTAAAAAAAGATACATAGGGATGGATAAAAATAATCATCACTCCTCTTCTCCTCCTCTCCTCTCGCGGTATTACTGCTACTATTGGGACAAACTAGCGCCGGTTGACACTAAATAATAAATTTAATCCCAATCCTATCATCCACAGTATTTGAGTGTATTATGTATAAGTAAATCCAGGTTTCTAGCAGACTTTGTCCTGAACACGGACCAGTAAAGCTATGAAGGATTCATGATTGTAATAATTTTCCCTCTCTCTTGCTGGTGTGAACCAGTTGAGCAATAAGTGAGGCAGTTGGCCAACCAGCCGTGCTGACAGCAGAAGCACAGACAGCTGTTTTGCTGTGGCTTCATATGAACGCGTGCTATGCAGTTGTTCACAGCTCTCATGGGAAATCATCATCAGGGCTTTATATTTATGTTCACCAATGCTTTGATCCGTGGATGTAGAGGAAACGGCGAAGGGAGGGAGTGTAGAGAGCAAAAGAAAAATGGCTTTTGGCCCACTGATGAGCTGTCACTGTCCACCCTCCTCTTTTCTCTCCTCTGTTTCTTCATTTTTTTTTTTTGCCCTGTCTCTCTTTTTCTCCGCGTGCCTGGGATGCCTCCCATTTTCCTTTGCTCTAATTACTGCCTTAGTAAACTGTGTCAGCGAGCCGAAATAGTTTTGATGAGGGGTCCGGCTGCGTTTGCATCTGTAATTTGATGGGTTTCATTGGGGACACATAAAACCAGACACACCAGAGGGTACGTGGCCACATCACAGCCTCGGGGTCGGCAGAGGTTATTTTTAGCCCCATCATGCTAGTCCGGTGGCAGCCACATCATTTTGGTAAGCCGCCGATTGAAATCGATCCAGCTGGGTTGAGCTGGTGCTCTCTGCCAGGGAAATCTGAGGGCCCGAATTTGTCATGCATCGTGCTGGGGTTAGATTCCCCAACTTGTGTGCAGGATTTACATGTGTTGTGTACATGTGTTCTCATATGTTCTCTGCAGATATGTTTACTGTAGCAGTATCCCCATGTAAGGGTGCGCTGCCTTGAAGACTACCATGTAAAAGACGCGTACGATAAAAGATGTTATAGATTAGTAGGTGAGCAAATACTTAAGGTCAGATCAGCTTTTAAAACTTTGGTGCAAGCAAGCGATCGTTGCAATCAGTGGATTTTCTCGCGGGGATGACGACACAAATATTTTTTTCAATACTCCTTTAAGAGACAGCGCTCCAGTCAGCAGTCACTAACAATGTCCAGGACCGGTTGAGGCTACTAGTCATGTGTGCTGCATGCCAGCCAAGTCGCTATATAGATTACTGTCTGGACTCAGCATTATGTAACACTGTTAGGTCCTTAGTGAGCCTCGTAATCTGGCAGCCACATTACATAACTGTTCATTAGCTCTTTCTACACATTCCCTCACACCTTCATTTTCAAATTTCTTTCATATATGAATATATATATATATATATATATATATATGTTTATGTTTTCCCTGATAATTTACACAGGATATGCTGCTTCCACAGATGATGAATATTTACCCTAGAAGTACTCCACTGTTAACACAGAGAGTGTTAGTCCGGGGTCACGCTTGTGTTCATGTGTGGGCGTGTGTGTGTATTTGTGCTTACAATTAGCCAGCAGGAAGTCAAAGGAAGACAAAGTGTGGTGTGAAACATGGTTGCATTAGATGACACATTTGCAGTTACGTTAGCATCTCTGATCACTTTCTGGACACTAGTTCAAGTGACCCACTATAAGGTTTTTCTAAATCTATATTTAAATTGGAGAAAGAGATCAAACATGACTTGCTGTTAAGCTATTCTTCCTAATGTGACATAGACAGCATACTGTATGTGCCAGCTCATTGATGCCCTCAGTGAAACTATGACTGCCAGACTTCAGATTCCAGCACACACTCATACACACACTGCACACAGGAAACCAAGTACACACATACATGTATACAAACACACTCCGATCGGCTACTGAATATCTTTTATATTGACGCTTTTCCTCATGAAAACATGGGTCATCGCAATCCATATTAGACTAGCTCATTGGTATCTGAGCTCTATTTTCTGTGTGCACATGGTTGGTGTGTATGTGCGTAAGTGTTTACATAAATACTGCAGGAGGGGACAGAACAGGCCGCAGGCCTAGTGTAGGAGATTTCATAAAAAACAAATCCCATTTGATCAGTTGGATAGGAACAAGCTTTTTATTGCGTCAGTTCAGGTTTTGGGTTTGGCTTGGCCTTTGAGTATACCATGTAAAAAGACTGGCATGCTGCCCGACTCACAACTGTGGTAGTAAAACATTTTGCAGTAGGAAAGATTAGCAGAGTTTTGATGGAAAAATTCAAAACAGGTGGTCTGTTTTTACTGCTTTCCCACTAATGGGGGTCTCCTTAGGCGACCATATGGATACAATTTTAGAAAGCGACGTTGCAAGTTTTACT